CAGGAATGAATAATAACAGTGTTTCCCAAGTCCTGTGGAGCCCTATAGTACTACCTGATGTACCTTTAGAAACAAAACCCTATAATGAGAGATAATGTCCTAAGTGAAACTGCTGTACTTGCAACTCACTGGATAAAAAAGGCAGGACCTTACAATGATGTGTTATTTCTGATCATATTACATAGCCTTATGGTAAGCATTTTCCATTATTTGGATGCACTTTTATAAATTCCTTCAGACATTCATGAGACACTAAATATTACTCAAAAACTGACACAGAAAGAAAATCTTGCTTTTGTTCCTCATATGCTATGTTGTTCCTGGTGTGAGGTGTAGGAGTTCCTTTCTATCTACTGGCTTGCTGTCCACATATAAGCAGTTTGTAACCATTGAAATCAAGAGCCAAACAACTAACCCTGAAGTTCTAATGCTTAGAGTAGGGGTCAGCAACATTTTTTCAGTGGCATACCAGATGACCCAGCTTGGGCCAGCACTAGGACCTGGCTGCCATTGCTGCTTCTCCCAACCACTGGGCTGCAGCATGGGCAAAGCTAATGGCTGCCCTGCTATGGTACAGGTGAGGCCCCTCACCACCAGATCTGGGCCAGTCCAACGACTCCGTGGACCACAGGTCATTCACTGACCTCTGGTTCTAAAATGCTAGATGTTAGGTTTTCTTTAAAAGAAACAGGCATCCTCTAACTATGGGGGTATTTTAAAAAATGTTTATATAACAGAAGGTTGTAGTTACAAAGTTCAATCCTTCTCTTAAAAATGACAGATAACCTTTCCCTTATGACAGAAGAAGAATGGAGAGAAATCTTTGTTAAAGATGCAATTTTAAGAAACTAATGCAACTTTCAATGTAAAATTTAGAATTAGGTCATTTCCCAATTCTTCTGTACAATATATAAAAATTACATGTATGACAATGTAAATAACCTTTAACAATCCTATTAAAACATTACAAAATATGAAGACCGTAGGACTACAAGGCCAAATCTTTCAACATGAGAAAAAATCCCCCACCTCAACTGCTGGTACAGCTTGCAGCATTTACCATGTTACAAGTGCTTGAAGGATAAAAGGACGAAAGAGGTAATGGCAAAAAGAATGAAACTGGGCCTGAAAGAGAAATTAGCTACACGGAAACCTGTCTATTATTAAGAAAACATTTTTTTGTACTGAGGTTATCTAAGGAAATATTCCACTTATTATCTATATGAAGATGCAACAAAATTAGACAGGTTGGTCCAGTAAAAGAAATCACAAACAAACCCTTGCCTCCTGTCCATTTCCTGAACAACACAGCTACAACAACACTCCAGCCCAAAATAAGACCAAACAGGCGTAACTAACGAGGTTTTCGCTTTTGGCCAGCATTACCCAAACCTGGTGGGGCACTTTCATATGCCTCTCTACTGTGCCTACTAATGCCACTTCCCTTGCTGCTCAGCCACTCCTTATCCTCACTGCTGGCAACAGGGAATTTGGTGGTAAGAGAACCAGCAGCTGCATTAGGGAGGCACAAAAAGCCCCCACCCCTCATTGCTGCTGCAGCAATAGCACAGATTGCCCAGGGAGCCTCCACTTCGGCACCCCCTCTAAGTTGGTACCAGGGGCCGCTGCCCTGCTTGCCCACCCTTACTTACCCTATCAGCAAAACAGATAAGAAAGGAAGGATTAAAGAATGATAAGGAAAAATAAAATATAGTTAACAGTGAATAAATGTCTACTATGAAAAATGTATGTGTGAACACACCTTCAACTCTCCTATGAAATACGAACTTTCATTTCTACCCAGGAGAACTTTTACAATCTTTTTCTCCTATGCCTGAAGAAGGGTGTTTGTGCCCCAAAGCTTGCAGTTAAAGAACTTTTTTTGCAAAAATCTAGTTGGTCTAATAAAATACATCACCTCTACCACAAGTCCTGATTCCATGTGTGAACAAGTCACAACAAACAAAATGAAAATTTCATCCCTGGAATGATCAAACAGTATAACCCTCGAATTATATTTCTCCAATTTTCTAGAAATGTCTCTAATGTTTAAATTCACATTCTTGGAACAGAAATATATTCTGCATGTGACATCTACGTAAGCAGGTATAATATTCATAAAATATTTTAATAGAATGTAGCATACACAATCTTTCACCACCAAGTCAAAATGTGCACACTAGCTAAAGTTGCTAACTAACACATCTGTTTAAACCATGCTTGTGCTTTCTTGGCCTATGAAACAGAAGCTTAAAGAGCTGGAATTGTTCAACACTGTATACTTAAGTTCAACAATCCATAGTCAGATTTCACAGCATTGCTGCCTTTTTACTGGGTTGAAAACCTACAAATAAAGCAGCATCTTTCAGGTCATCTTGATTTTTAGTGTAGCTTTTGAGAGCTCTCTTTACACATATCCCTTACAACAATTTCTTTTTTGTAGGGTGAAAGGAGTCAAACTAAAAAAATGTTAATTCCCTGAATACGTAAAAGATAGAATTAACCTTGTGCATAAATGCTGATGCCATCATTTTGAAATGTTCATTACTCTTCATTAATATCACACCAAGCCAGCTCTTATGGAGATTTCAGAAATTGCGTCATATCAATTTAACTAAGCTTAGAATCTGACTCAAGCTTTATGGATCAATTAGGAACAACAGGTTTTTTCATCCTTTATGCTGAGGGACTATTAAAGATAATAAAATGCATAGGATAAATTGTTTGCTTGTCTGCAGATCAATTGGCTTAATTTAACTTTTCCTTTTAACTGGATTTTTTCCAAAAAGCTGCTATTATTATTATTATTATTATGTAAGCCATATTCCCCAAACTGACTTTGCTCAGACAATCTAAGCATATACTGTACACATTTTCCATGTATTACAATAAGATTGCACTTCTTGTCCATTGAAATGACAATTTTGGTTCCTGGTGTACTCTGGAATTTCTTTTGCCCTCTTTGCTTCTCCACACAGGACATTGCAATGTGGATGCCCAACACAATGCCATGCAACCCAAATATTTATTCAATGCTCAACATGACAAGGCAAGCTGCTTATACTTCCAAAAAATAACACTATTTAGGTTTTTATATCATACACATCACTATCATATATGAGCACCTGCAAGCCCTTATCTACTCTGCTTAGAGCTCCATAAAAGATATCTATAAAAAGGAGTTCCCAGCCTCAAAAGGGGTCAAGAAAGACTAGTAACAAATATCAGTCTAGGCAACATACTAAAGGGTAGTCTGGCAGAATTACTGTAGGTAAGGTCTCCCAACATGCCCCACTTTGGGACTAGCATGTGACCTCATAAACATTCTTGGCCAGTATGACAGTCATGCACAGCGTCCATTATAATGATCAGATAATAAGTCTGGTAGCAAATGCTTCATTATTTTAAAATTTCCCGTATTTTCAAGAATCACAAGAGAAAACAGCTCTATACTCCCAAGTAACTGATTACGACCTGGTTCTTGAATAATGAAATTACCTGAATTATAGTTTTATTGTTTTGAGTCCCCTTCTCTTGCTTTGATAGATGTTACTCAAGAAGTAGGGAAGGAGGAAAAAAGGGGGGCGGTGAGGTCCTTCTAAACTCAAGAAAAGATATGAGGACCGTTATCATCCTTCTAAATAAACCTGGTTCGAAAAGTGTCTTGTATTGAAATATGTTCAGCTTGATATACAAAAATCAGAACTTTCCTGATTCAGGGCAAAATCAGGATGGAAACATAATGTGCCTGCTCCATTTGTCAACATTATATAGCTTCCTAGATCTGTGGCATATGGGATCAATGCAAATATTCCAGGCTTAATCTTTATTGCTTTGGAAATTGGAACGTTATTTTCATCTCATCATTTTTATTGTGAAAAATAAACTAAGTATGCCCAACAAAACTTTTTTCTCTGGGAGCTACTTTTCTGGCCCCTGGTTAATAACACAGTGTATGCCTCTAGTTTCGCTAACCTAAAAAATGTAGAAACCATAATTTTATTTCTGAGACTTACTTAAGATATTAGCTTCCTTGACAGGCTCCAACATCTATCATTCCATGACTATTTTTTTACAGTTTTGTTAAAAATTGGTTCATCTCCTTATTCTTACATTTCCATTTACAGAGAAATGGGTTTCCAAGTCATAGCTAAGGTCTATTAGTAAAGACAGTGGACTGATATGTGTCTGGAAAGAATCTACCTTATTTTGGCTGTGATTTATCAAGTCTTCCTTAAACGGTTTGTTTTGGCATGAGCAAAAGGAAAAGATTCCAAGAGGTTTGATCATTTTTCAAGTTACTTTGCATAAGGTACTGGTATTCCCTGCCAAGTCAATCAATGGCAAAAATGACTGTTACAGTCATATACTTGGTCTGGCTCAGACTCAGTATAGAGTAAATAACTGAGTTTCTGAAGACAAAGAGTATCTATAGTAGAAGGGGGCATTGGTAGTAAGGAGTATTATCTTGGAAACAAATGCATGCCAGGGAAACCAAAACACTGATATACAAACAACATTACATGTATAAGGGAAAATATATTGATTAAAAAACAAATGAATTTGCTGAAGGAATGTCACAGAGAATGGACATCATTAAGACATATACCATCGTAAGAGACAATGCAGGCTGAAACCATGAATGAGAAGGTTTCAAGACAGAATAAGAAAAGTACATCTGGAGCCGTTTAACCATGCAAAACAGGTAATTTTGAATGATGAAAGAATGATCAGACTAAAAAGAAGCTAAATAAAGATAGTACCTGCCTAGCAAAAAGCAAGCAACAAAAGGGAACCAACAGCCAGGAAAAAAGGCAAACTGATTTGCCAAATTTCAGCGAAGACCTCAATATAAATAAGCTGAGACTAACATACAGTGCAGAGTGGTATTTTGCCTCTCAAGTGGCAGGTTATAATAATATGTGAAAAGGCTTTCTGAAGAATAAAGACAAATATCCATATACTGTTGCATAAAAGGAAATTGGCAGCTTTTGGACACTCTAATGTCAGGCATCTTAGTTTGTTTGCCATCCTAGCAAAATTTTACTCAAACTATTTCTCCAAGGTGGTAAATTAAAACAGGTGTAACTGAAAGGAGATTTGGTAAAAATCAAGCATACATGCAATGACTTAGAAAGGAAAAAAAAAACCCCACAAAGGTGAGGTTAATATTGATGACCACTGAGCGCACTGAGTAATAAGTGCATCTGAAGGAGATGACTGATGGTGAAAACCATTAGATGCACTGATGATATAAAGAGGAAGGATTTGAATTCAAGGAACACCAGACTTTTTTTCCCTCTATAATAATCTGTCAGTTGGACAAACTCCACTTAATGAGAGGGAGTACCAAGATGCTAGCTACTTCAAAGCAGCAGAACTTGTTGGTCAGGCTTTAAACAACACAGTAGGTAGTAATGGTAACTTTCATTTAACTTAAATTCTGACATGTAACTTCAACCCCAAAATTTAAAGAAAAATGACAGGTATGTTTTGTAACAAAAGGAGTTTTGATTTACTTACTTAAAAACTAGAAAGGCTAAATATATTGAAAAAAACACTTTAAAAGGCATTAGCTTACTTAATAGTAAATAGAGTACAGCAACTCTACTAGTGGGAGAAATAATTTGTTGAGAATACAAAAAACCTTAATGCTTCTGGATCCTGGTTTTCTCTGATGTAAAAAAAAAAAACAACCAAAAAACCAAACAAACAAACAACTTTTTTTAACCCAAAATCTGGGTAACTCAAAATCCACATTTTTCTGGGATTAAAATGAAACACTTATACAAGATAAAAATATATATTATATGTATACAAGATATAAAATATATGTATTATACAATATTTTATATAAGTGGTATCATTTTAATCACATAAAAAGATGGAATTTGGGTTATTTTGTAATCAAAAAATTAGGGATTCTTTTTGTTTAATCAGAGAAAACCAGGATCCTTGTTGGTAAGAAACAGATTCAGGGTGGCTTCTTAGTGGGGTAAGTCTTTCAGGGATCATTAAGGTATTTCCCTTGTTAATTTAAAAAATGGGAGCGCAAGATTATTTTACACCTGGAAGTCAAAACGTAGGCAATAAAGAAATCCTGTCATCATGAAGCAAGAAGAAAACATACTGACATCCTTAGATATGATTTATAATTAAACCAAAACAAAATAATGCTTAAAGAACAAAAAGCAGGCAGATAATGAAGAACTGATATTGGAAATGAATCAAGATTCATGCTATATTATCACTTTAGTATCCCTGCTTGTCCCAAGTAAAGCTGGAAAACAATATGTAACGTCCAACTAAATGGACTAAATAATAAATATAAAAAACCCTTTTCTATGACCTTATGGCAAGCAGATGAACAATAGTTCCTTTTAATGAGTCATCTTAGACCTAAGCATGTCAGATCATACTATAAAATATAAGCATTACTTTGTGAAAAAACATATCATTATCAAAGGAATGAACTCAATGTTCTGGTGGACCAATCTGCCAAGCTTATGCTTCTTTAAATACTATGATGTAAACTGACTGTACTACTGTTACCAACAAAAAGGGAAATCTAAAAAACATCAGAAAGCAACAGATTGAATTTGAGGTTGCAAAGCAATGACTGTCCTTCTTGCATCATCAGTTTCATCAAAATAAAAAACCGTATAGGAAAAATTTACTGCGGCATATGTATACATCTAGAAGAGAAGCTAAGCATTAACAAGATTATGGATAATGTTTCAGACTTAAGACGTTTTTTCAGACTGCAGAAAACCAGAACAGCTCTGACTCTTTTCCCACCTAACATTAAAGTATTCTGCTTTCTTCATAGTTCTGTGCCGTGTATATTTGCATAAACATATATGCTGGAGCATAATGTTTAAACAAACATACTAAGTTTATGCCACGTTTATTTCAATGTAATTCTTAGTAAGTACACAGCAGTTATTTGAAACCTTTCTTCTTTGTTACATTATCATTCTGTAAAAAAAGTACAAGTATTTTCTTTTAAATATCCAAGAAAAAATATCTTTTTCTTATAATCAGATACTCATTTCAAGCTGTCTTTACATTAGCTTCATTTAACAAACTGTCCTAATAGAAACACATTATAACTGGAAATTTTCATGTACATTTGTGAGACTTTCACTTTTAGAGATATTTGAGAAAGATCTAGTTGCTGATATTTAAAACATGAAAAATTTCAAACAGAGCTCAGTTAGTCATTCATTATGTATGTTGTATTGCTTTACCCAGAAACTTACAGGAAATCATAAGGTAATCCTCACAGTTGCCCTTATCATCCTGATGCTCCACAGGGATACCATTTGCATCAATTACTGCTTCTGAGGCACAGTCCGCCACCAAGACTTCTTCAGAAACTACATCTGTTCCCAGAGTATCGGTGACAATATCTGCTTCTTCACCATTATCATGAACCACATGTTCTACATGCCCAACATCAGGTACGTGCATTGATTCACTTGTCAGTACATGTTCTGGTATAGACATAGCTTCAGCTGTTAAGTCAGAGGCTAAAACATCATCTGGAACAGTACAATGTGCTAAAGAAACCTCTTCAGCTACATCTTCATCCAGCACTTGTTCAGGAATGATGACAGTTTCAGACACATCCGCCTCATCCATAATATCAGAGCAGTGAACATCCTCAATAACAACGTCTTCAATGACATCTTGGATTACTACCGAATCTGGATCATCAGGAACAAAGTTGTGTACAGTTATGTCTGAGTCCACCACATCTGAAACAAATACAGTTTCTTGTACTTCCACAACAATCTGATCTCCATCCATATGTGCTGCATCAGCTCCTGAAAACATAATCAAACCAGCGTTTAAAATGTATGCAACGTGGGATGGATATTTATCTGCTCTAAGTTATTTTAATTTGTCTTAAGGTCATAATATTTCTAACTCCTACAAGAACTCTGGTATATCTAAGCAGACATAGTAATATAGATAAGTAGACAAAGTAGCTGATAAAAAACTAGAAAACTATTAATACTTTACCAGCCACTAGTATTTCTTTAATAAATTAACATTCAGCTAAATAGGAGTGTATTGTGGAAGGTCACCTAATTTTGAGACCCCCCCCCAACAATCTCCAAACAACGCTCTTTTCAAAGAATAAGGTAGAACTAGAACGTTATTATTCTGGACCAGGGGTGTGTAACCTCTGGCCTGTGGCCCACAGAGCTATCCCATTTGGCCCACAGGGCTCCCCGTGGGTCTGGAGATATGGCTGCAAGGAAGCAGTGGCCGTTAATAGTCATCCTCCCCCACGGATACAGGGGGCCATGTTGGGGCTGGGCCGGGCCTCATTCCTTCTCCCTTGCAGGGCTGTGCTGGGACCAGGCTATGCCCCTTCAACATTGGGGCTGGGCTGCCCTCACACCCCTCTGCACAGCCAGATAGTGCCTGGCACACCTGCCTTAAATGCCAGATCGGGACCACAGCCAGATTTGGCTCACAGATGGACCAGGCACTCACCATCTGGCCCAGAGAGGGGGAAATGTTGAACACCACAGTTCTAGACAAACAAAAGTCACAAGTACAGAATTCACCCCAAAATTAATAAGCTGGTAAAGCACAGCTCAGCAACAATAAATTACATTGCAACTACTCAATTATATTTAATAGGAACAGCTTTATCTATATGCTGTATCGCCTGTCAGACCTGTTGTATCAAAAAATGTATTTGCTTCATGTGGCTGCAGTTCAAGTCCATCTTCATCCATGGCCTTTAATTTTACTTCTCATCAGTCACCAATGCCTGTAGGAAGAAGAGAGAAAAAAGTTAGTCTAACAGCAGTTATAATTCTGTTACTTCTGCATATAGTAATATTATATTAATTATATCCAGGGATAGATCTGCTGGCTCCATTGAAAGCAATGGCAAAACTCCCCTTGACTTCAATATGGCCAGGAGTTTACTTAAATTGCCTGTGCTACAGAGGTTCTAAACCTTCTGAAAAGCCACACCTCCTGGGATTGCATATTCAGGTTAGGATCTAAGATCTCATTGCCTCCATTCATGTGTCTTGAACCTCTGAATCACTGGAAGCACAAAGAATACTGAGACACAGTAAAACAGGAAAAGAAAATGTGAGTATGTAGAAATAGTCCTTAAATGGGAAACCTATGCATATTCCCACTCCTATGAGACAGGTAACAATATTAACCCAAATGGTGGACTGAACTGTTCTCAAATGAATAATGCTGAAGAAGGTAAAGAAAAATAGATGTCCAATAGACTCAGATTTGGACATAGCTCTGAGGTCTATTATATCCATGGCCAGTCTGAAATAAAATAAGGTGGTGAGAGCTCATACTTGTTTTACACAATTACAGGACTACAGATAGTCATTTTCACCAAATTTCAGAAAACCATGTTTTGGGTACGCTGAATCTCATGACATTAAATATGCAGACACTCCAAGAATCATCTACTTGCTTTTTGTCTAAAAGTAACATCTATTCTCAAAGATGATCAGATTTGGAGTGTTCTCAGTTCCAGTAGTTTGGTTCAGTTTTTAAAAATTGACACCCGGCTAGGGACAGACATTACACATACACTGGTTTAAGTGATCAGAAACCTGTAACAGAACAGATGTTCAGTGCATATAAACCAGTTTGAAAATGGCTGAAACCAGTTTGAGATAAACCTGGTTGAAACGCAGTATCAGACTTAACTGATTTGGCTCAAACCAGTTTATGCAATGTCTGTCCCAGAGCCCTTGCTGGTTTAAGATAAACTAAACACCCCAGACATCCCAGCATACTCTCTGGGCTAGGCGGGGCTCTCTGTTCTACAGCAGGGCTGGCCCTTCTGCCCTGCCCCCCTGGGCAAAGCTCCTCCAACACAGACTTGCAGATGCAATAGAGTCTGCTGGCTTCCATGTGCCCCCTCCCCCACCTCTCTCACCATTTATTCCTTCCTCCCCTCTCCCACAGCAGTGACCGTAGCCAGCATTTGGTATGCTAGCTAGAGCTGTATATGGCTCCAGCAGAGACTGCAGACACAGCAGGGTCTGCTGGCTTCCCCCTGGCCTACTCACTGCTTAAGCAGGAATCCCCTCCTCCCTCCCTTCCTCCCATCTCCCACAGCATGGACCCCAGCCCCATGGACCCTAGGTATGTGGTGTGCTAGCTGATGCTGAGAGGTGTCTGCGTGTGCGTCTCTCCAATTTCATTGGGACAGGCAGGCAGACAGAACAGGGCTTTTGGAGCTAATCAACAGGTCACCCTGATAAGCTGTTTAAGAGTTTGGAGTTATGGGAGAGAGGCTATTGCTTTGCTAATCAGGTGATAAAGACTCTTATCAGGTCCTGGCTACCTTGCTCCCCTGTCAGTTTGCTGCAGACAGTCTGACAAGTAGGAAGTTGAAAAGCTCTGTATCATCAGCAGATGCACAACTGTCCTTGCCTCAGAGTGCTAGCAAGAGTCTGGGGGCTGACAACTCTTCCACCCCTTGAACAGCCAGCAGGGAAAAGCCTGGGATGGTGCAGGCAGACATCCCTAATGAGAAGTCCTGCTGGGGGGCCTGGTTACAACCCCTCAGCTCAACTCTGTGTAAAGGAAAGAAGGCTGCTCTCAAGTCCCCCCAGCTTCTAGTCTGCGCCACAGCAGGCATATGCCTGAATTTCCTCAGTCCAGAAGGATTGTCTGTATGGTTGGAAACCAGTTCAACCTAGCCAGGTTAGACTAACCTGCAAAGATTGAATCAATTCAGGCGCAGGCTTTTGAATTTCTGTCTCTAGCCCCCCGAAACTTAGGTGGATCTGATTTAAATCATTATTTAAATCATGAATTAAATCACTGGTCAAATAGCTTTGATTTAATCACTCTTTTCTACAAAAAGTGCATTCTTGTTTGATATTCTTTACTCATTTAACTTCTTGAAAATTTGCACTTTTAGAGAAAGGTAATGGATTGACTGTGTGTACACTACGCAACCTTGCAGAGAGACAATAGGAATGATGGGTGCATAGTCAGCAGGTATCCTGGTTTTCTGAGATTAAAAAAAATCCCCAATTTTCGGATTTAAAAAAGTAACCCAAAATCTGCATTTTTTCGTGATTAAAATGAAACACTGGTACAGATATATTTATTAGTGGCGTTTCATTTTAATCATGGAAAAACGCGGATTTTGGGTTACTTTTTTAAATCTGAAAATTGGGGATTTTTTTTTTTTTCCGTCTCAGAAAAACAGGATCCCTGGTTACCAGGTCTGTTATCTCTCATCTCCATATACTATTGTTAACAAGGATGTTATCTCTGGAGACAAAAAACTTATGCCTGAAGAATGGTGTTTGTGCCCAAAAGCTTGCAAAGAACAATTTTTCCAACTATTTAGTTGGTCTAATAAAAGCGATCACATCTATCCAAAGAACCTTGTCTGCCTCTGATCTCTGGAGACAAAAATCCAGAGTCTGAGAACTGAAACTAAGCATCATGGAGATGCTTAATGGGATCTTCTAGACCAGGGGCAGGCAATTATTTCAGGCAGAGGGCTGCTTACCCAGTTTTGGCAAGCTGTTGAGGGCCGTATGGGTAGCCCTGCCCCTTGACAGGTGCCCCGTCCCCTGGTCACCATCTTGGGACCAATGTCCCAATGTCTTGAGACCAATGTCCCATGGCCAGCACCGGGGGGGGCCAGAGCAGGGCGGAGGGGCTGGCAGGGGTCTGTGGAGCCAGGCTGGGCTGCAGCAGCAGGGAGAGAGGGGAGCTGGCCTGGCTCCATAAAGCCTCTGCAGGCCAGGACCCTATACCCCTGCTGCCCTGCTCTGGGCCTGTACTTTTGCAATAATCAAATTTTTGCAAGGAGCAAGTTCTTTTAAAAAAGGGAAGGGGAGGAACAAGTATAACAGCACCCTGCAAACTGCTACCATTTGGGAGTCTTATCTCCTAGCCTAACTTAATCTTCCCAATTATGATGAGAAAATACATTGGAGAAATTAAGAGAGAGATGTATCCAAGAATTAAACTACAGGAACAGGAGCTTCAATAAGATGTACAAATAATTCACCTTTCCCCAAGGACTTTGTTATTTGGAAGTGTCCAGTCAAAAGCTCCCAGTCTTTGAAAAGGATCTGGCTACGGTTTCTTTGTGGAATCCCACTAGATATCACGCTATTTAGAATCCCTAACAAGATACTGTCAGTTGCATTCTATGTTGATGTAAGGGTTATGTTGATACATGGATCTCTTTTCTGGCTTACAATCACAAGAATGTATTAGCTAGACACTTTTAGTTTCAAATCTAACAAAAACACACGGAAATGTCGTCCCCCCTGTGCAATAAGCAGTATTTCCATATGTTTATACATCCAAGCATTTTTCACCTGGCCCTTCCTAATCTGCTTAGTTTTACCAATTTAACAAGATCAGGCCTACTCAGCCCGCTAAGAATTTCTTTCCTAGAATAGTTTATTATGGCATATTATTTCCTATGTAGTCACTAGTTTCTTTGTTTCCTTATAACTCCACTCCGTTGGATCTCACTTCTTTACCTACATCATATTCTCTTCATCCATTTACTTGTCTTTACTAAATTTACCCCTATTTCACACACCAGTCTGTGGAACCCCTGCAATTACCCACACACCTCACTTCTAAAATTACCAGATACCTAATTGCAGGGATTAAATTGGCTAGCCGAAGACTGACAAAAAAGACAGTCTGAGCAATGTCTTGGGTAACTCTTTTCTGCCAAACTGTTACAAAAAGGAAGGGTGCTGCTTCTGGACTGGGCTTATGAAATACGTATTACTATATGCATTGGTCTCTAATGAGCTGGAATCAAACAGATTTAAGTGGGAAAAGCAGCATTCACTTCCTACTTCCAGCTTCTGCTCCCATCCTGTCCCTCAGCCTCCCAGCTCCTGTGATCCATGTGTATGTCTCCACTATCCTATCCTATCCTAAAATTTCTGCTGCTACACAGAGTTGCCTTCATTTCTCAAAATCTCCAGCATCTTGATTTTGGGTTCTTCTTACCTACTGCCTCCCTCTGCTACTTATCTAAATTCTACCACTACCCGTCATTTTTACTTTTCATTGTTTTAGCCAACAGATTCTCAACAGCAGGTGGGAAAACTGCCAAAGCCATAGATAGTCAGGTCTCATTCTGGTGCAGGTTATCTCAGATACCAGCAATTGCCATGGCACTAGACCTGTCCACCTGCATGTTTAAGACAATGCAGCATTAGTCTGCATACTGTTTGTTTTTGGAGCTCAAACATTAGGATCAGAAATTCTACAAGAGAGGCTTATTTTCTGCAAACACGGACTGCACTTGACTGAGACAACTGGGTTTTTGTTTTAGCAGACCCCATCAAGGACCAAGTTTCTAACCACTAGGTATGCACAGAGATGTTATGCTTTAATTTTTTAAAAAAAGCAAACTTCTACTAAAATGATATTTGCTTTAATACATGATAAGGGCCTGATCTTGCAACTAAAATGTCCATGTAGACACCCGTGAAGAACCCCAACGGCTTTAAACAAGCCTCTTTGCAGGCATGGCAACCCACATACACAATCAGATTCAGCAGCAGCTTCAGGGACCAAGACAGTTTCAATGTCGGTATAACCTTAAACAATGTAAAGCTCAGTCTGTAAAAATAGCTCCAGCAAAAGGTTTATTATTTTTTTTTTACACACACACGTTTTGTGGGAAAATTGAAACATTTTCATGTGCAAGCACAGGTAGAAATATGTTTTGAAAACAAACAGTATTACAATGGTAGCAAGTCAATACAAGAACCCTTCAGGAAAAAAGGTTGATTTTTGTCAAACCTCTGCACCTTGAGTATGATCAGTCAAGAAAGGAAACCCAAGTTAAGAGCCTCCCCACCATAACTGTCTGGCTTACAGGATTTATCAAGACAATCAAATTGAAAGAAGGGAAGAAGAAACTAACAAGAAGTTAGGATTCAAAGATAGTTAACTTGAATAACTGCCTCATTTAAAAGAAAGAAAGACATGCTGCTGAAACACATGTAACCTCCCCCATCTAACTCCCCCTCCATTAAAGGAAGCAAGAGGTAGAGGCTAATACACTGAAAATTATCCCTAAGAGAAATAAATTAATGCACGCAGAGAAATCTTTCACTCACTCTGATCAAAGGGGTAGCAAAAATCTCCCT